GTCACAACATCATTACCAACAGTAACCAGACGGCCCGTTAGCAACAGGTCACAACAACATTACCAACAGTAACCAGACGGCCCCAGAGCGACTTACAAATAGGTGCATTCACCCTATAGCCAGTGGGGGGGGGGGGGGGGGGGGGGGTAGAAGGATTACTTTATCCTATCCCAGGTATTCCTTAAAGAGGTGGGGTTTCAAATGTCTCCGGAAGGTTGTGAGTGACTCCGCTGTCCTGGCGTCGTGAAGGAGCTTGTTCCACCATTGGGGTGCCAGAGCAGCGAACAGTTTTGACTGGGCTGAGCGGGAACTATGCTTCCGCAGAGGAAGGGAAGCCAGCAGGCCAGAGGTGGATGAACGCAGTGCCCTCGTTTGGGTGTAGGGACTGATCAGAGCCTGAAGGTACGGAGGTGCCGTTCCCCTCACAGCTCCGTAGGCAAGCACCATGGTCTTGTAGCAGATGCGAGCTTCAACTGGAAGCCAGTGGAGTGTGCGGAGGAGCGGGGTGACGTGAGAGAACTTGGGAAGGTTGAACACCAGACGGGCTGCGGCATTCTAGATGAGTTGTAGGGGTTTAATGGCACGACAACTTAGTCTTTGAATTGACCTTACTTGCATTTACTGTTTAGGAGTGCAGGGCAAAATCTGACCAGTCATTCTGTGGTCATTATTTGTATAAATTGAGAACAGGGCATTTTTCTTGTGCTTTCTCCAGGTGAGGCCATTAGATCTAAATTCAACTAGGACATTAATCTCATGTTTATTTAAGTCTGATGTGTGACGTTGAAGCTAAATGGAGCAGCTCATTTCTCTGGTATGTTTATAGTCTATGTTTTTTTTATCTGTGGTTCAGGGCTATAGCTAGGAGCTTTGTACAGTCTGCTACACACGCGCACACACACACACACACACACACACACACACACACACACACACACACACACACACACACACACTGGGGTCACTACACACACACACACACACTGGGGTCACTACACACACACACACACACACACACACACACACACACACACACACACACACACACACACACACACACACACACACACACACACTCACACACAGACACACACAGACACTCACACACAGACATGCTGGCTTAGGCCTGAGATGACCAATTGTGTTTACTCAGCAGGCCTTGGGCCAGAGTGATGCCACTCTCAGCAGGCCTTGTGCTAGAGTGATGCCACTCTCAGCTGGCCTTGGGCCAGAGTGATGCCACTCTCAGCAGGCCTTGTGCCAGAGTGATGCCACTCTCAGCAGGCCTTGGGCCAGAATGATGTCACTCTCAGCAGGCCTTGGGCCAGAATGATGCCACTCTCAGCAGGCCTTGGGCCAGAGTGATGCCACTCTCAGCAGGCCTTGGGCCAGAGTGATGCGACTCTCCGCAGACCTTGGGCCAGAGTGATGCCACTCTCAGCAGGCCTTGGGCCAGAGTAATGCCACAATCAGCAGGCCTTGGGCCAGAGTGATGCGACTCTCCGCAGACCTTGGGCCAGAGTGATGCCACTCTCAGCAGGCCTTGGGTAATGTAATGCCACTCTCAATAAGGTCCCTGTCCTGTCTGTCTGTCTGTCTGTCTGTCTGTCTGACTCCGTACCTTTACATGTTAGAGATGGGAGGGGAGGAAGGGGGAGAGATGCAGTGAGAGGGGGAGATGATAGGGGGAGAGAGGGAGGGAGAGGTGGAGATGATAGGGGGAGAGAGGGAGGGAGAGGTGGAGATGATAGTGGGAGAGAGGGAAGGAGAGGGTGGAGATGATAGGGGGAGAGAGGGAGGGAGAGGTGGAGATGGTAGGGGGAGAGGGGAGGGAGGAGGTGGAGATGGTAGGGGGGAGGAGGAGGGGAGGGAGAGGTGGACGATGTTGTAGTGGGCGAGAGGGGAGGGAGAGGTGGAAGATGGTTAGGGGGGCGAGAGGAGGGAGAGGTGGAGATTGATAGGGGGGAGGAGGGGAAGGAGAGGTGGAGCTGGTAGGGGGGAGAGGAGAGGGAGGGCGAGGTGGATGGAGATTGGTAGGGGGAGGAGAGGGGAAGGATGAGGTGGGAGATGGTAGGGGGAGAGGGGAGGGAGGAGGTGGAGATGGTTAGGGGGAGAGAGGGGAGGGAGAGGGTGGAGATGGTTAGTGGGGAGAGAGGGGGGACGGAGGGTGGAGGGATTTTTTTGCCTCCCTAGTCCTATCTCTTTCAGCCAAAGATGAGAGGGTTACCTGTCAATGCTTAGAGAGATAGAGGGAGGGAGACTGATGGAGAGAGGGAGGGAGATGGAGAGAGGGCGAGAGGGGAGGGAGAGATGGCGAGAGAGGATGGAGAGAGGGCTGGGAGGATGGAGAGATGGAGGGAGGGGAGATGGAGAGGAGAGGAATAGAGGGAGATGGAGGAGAGGAAGAGATGGGAGAGGAGATGGAGAGAGGGAGGGAGATGATGGAGATGAGAGATGAGGAGAGGGAGAGACTGGAGAGAGGGACGGCAGAGTGGAGCAG